AAAAATAAAAATACTCTATATTCATAATCCCGGAAAATTACATTTTGCATAAAAAATTATTATATAAAATATAATTTTATTATGTGTTATTATGTGTTATCTTATATTAATTTCCCGTATAATACGTAATACCACAGTAATATCGCAGCAATATATAAGAAATATTATTGCAATACATAAGAAATATTACTCACATATTGGATGTTGATAAATAATATGAAATACAGTAATATTATGGCAATATAACGTCTTAAGAGAGAGAGAGAGGAGCAGAGAAACATATTATATAGTATAATAACTAATAATGTTTCTACGATGTCTACTTAATGTCAAAGACGTCATTAAGACGATAATTATTAAGATATCACGAAATTATACGTACACGTATATATATGGTAGACAACTATAAAATGTTAAAACTAATATTGACATAAAATGCATATTAAGATTTTTAATTGATACATATGGGGTATTCCATGCCAAATCAGAGGGCCTTCGTTATTGACCCCTGCCGATATTTTTACTAATTTTTTAATATATTCCTCATATTAAAATATGTATTTAGTTATTTTTTTAGATTTTTATCTCCATTAGTTTCCTACACATGAATTTGTTAATATTTTTAATTTATTTTATTTCGTAAACATGTAGTTGAACATAACTTCTATTTAAATTATTAAAAAACAAAAAATAACCACATCAAATTGTGCAGCTTAAAATTCTTTATTAGGAAAAAAATATGAAAAAAACTTCAAGTTTTCGTTTCTACTCAAACACACACACAATCTGATTGAAATAAATAAAATCGATTTTCATCAAGATCGACATTTTTAATTTTTATTAAAAAATTTTCCATATTTTTAATAGAAATACAAAGAATTTAAAATTAGTTCTATTATTTAATGTTAGTAGATTTTTAATCTGATGAGTTACATAAATCACATTATTTCATAACGATACTAAAAAATATACAATATTTCTAATTTCACAATTATTTAAGGAATAAGGATTTATAAGAATATTATTTAAATTTAATAACATCTTTTAGAATATGTAAAAAATTGATTAATAAAGATCATTTTTATATAAAATTTTATGTAAAGATCATTTTTCCATAACGGATTATTTTTATTTGTCAGTTTTTTTCTCACTCTTGTACGTTCTATAATCCAAAGAGTTTGAAAATTTTTTGGCAATAAACGTACCATTTTTTTTTTAGGAATAATACTATAAATTTTTAAATATCAGTTACAGGATTTGCTATTCCAATCGTGTCGCAAGATATTCCTTTGCTAAGTTATATTCTTCCGTTAAGAAAAACTTTATCACGATATTTGTCAAATTTATTGGATCTGGGAGGATTGTGTCGATTGTGTATTCGAAATAAAGTGAAAATTACAAAAGTGAGCAAAGGTTACTAGGTATTGACCAATTAATTTATCAAAATTCTAGTGAATTTGTTCACTTTTGTAATTTTCACTTCATTTCAAAATACACAATCGATCCTCTGACGCCGATTTGAACAGTTCATGTGGAGTAGTTATTTAGCGATCAGATCGGGGTTGCAGGCTTGTACAAATAGCTATTCTTTTTACCACCTATTCCGTTACATGGACCCTTGCTGAGGCAAAAAATGCCATTCAGCCGGCACTTCAAAGTCTTCTTCATGATAGTAGATACTTGCAAAGTTTTTAAAATTTTTGAATTGTTAGGAGCCATCAGAAAAATAGTATATTTTAATCGAAATTATATTGAGAAGGATATACGAAAAAGAAAAAGAGATATTTCCATAAAAAAAATTGAATATAAATAATAAGTATAATATAATTAATAAGAACTAAACAAAGAATAAATAATCTCATCAGAAAAATAAAGTCATAAAGAACTAAGTATACAAACGACATTTCGACTTCGATCGGGTCATTATCAATGTTAAATATATAATAAACAATTAATATAAATATATTTAAATTATAAACGGCTTAATACTAAAATTAATAAGAAAAAATACAGACTTCTACTGATAGATGTAAAAATTGTTAGCTTAATCGTACCTTGTAGTTAGCACGCTGATATTAAATCCAAGAGGCCCCTCAACAAGTCATTGCGTGTATACAATAATGATTATACGTTTTTAACGTATCGCAATTAATTCATGATAGAATTATAGAAAATCAGAGTAGATAAAAACAGTGAGATAATAGTCTGTTAAGTATTTTTATATTTTATTTTACTCTCCATTTTCCTTTTCTTCTACTTTATTTTTTCCCCCTCTTATGTTCTCCTTCTTTTCTAGTTTATCACATGAATCTTCTCGTTTAGAATGTCGATTTTATATTGTCTCTGAACATCTGAGAGAAATGACGTTTTTCACTTTTGTCACATTGTCTAAGATTAGACGACTTTTTTATATTGACACACGCTCAAAGGTATTTAGTCTCATTTAATTTAGCTGCTACTAAATTAATTATATATAACTTGTACATCGCACAACTTCTTATTAATGTTCTTCAGTGTACTTTCTATATTATATATTACTAGTTGAACTTGTTTGAAATCAGCGGCAACTTCAAATTAAGATTTACGATTTATCGTTAGCTTTTTCCCAGGTGTACCGGACCCTATTATATATTACTATTTTATTCTTATTCTTATTCCTTGCTTTTTAATTATTTCTGTCATTACTATTACTTATTCCTAATATATTTTGACATTATATTAGTACTTTTTAACAGAAATAATTACGATGTCTATAGTATATACAAATTACCAGAGGAATACACTATTAACAACACTCTGATTAATATCTACTGCATACTGAGCGATATTATCGATAACTTTAATATTGCGATCGAGAGCAAATTATAGCTCTATATATCTTCTCTTTGTAATATTTTCATTGCTTCTTGTTATTGATAATGAACTGACATGGATCGAATTTGTTTTTCGTTTTATTTATTGCCGGCATAATAAAGTTTATATTTAGCTAAACGATAGTTTTATTTATTAGCATATTCAATTTTCAATTTATAACGATTAATCTTAGGCTTACAGCCCTTTTTCTTTTGGTTTTTATTTTATTGAGTCTTATTACTATTTTAGTTTATACTTTATATTCTCAATTTCACTCATCAGCAGATTAAAAATCTTCTAACATTAAATAGATTTAGTATTGTGAAAAATTAAAAAAAGCAATGAAAATTTTGACCATAACCAAATATGGCTTAAATTCTTTTGTATTTCTATTCACAAGGAAAGTTACTCAGATGTTCGATTAGTTTTGAAAAACTGGTTAGAAGTCGTAGTATCCTATCTATTAATTAAAATGAATGCCATTCGGTCGGAAAATTTGATATTCGTTAGAAAAGTGGAGTTAAAATCCATTATAAAGGAGTCTTTTGTAAAATGTAAAATGACTTTAAATGAAATTTTTTTGTAAATTTTTTTACTTTTTGATGATTTTTTTGAGGATTTTTCTACGTGTGTATGTATGAGTAATATACGTAAGTGGAATAGAAAAGAAAACCTTGGTCTCGATTCCATTGATATGTTCCATGTAGTTCTAACTTTTCTACCTTATAGTATTGTATATATAGAAAAATATTTTAATAAACTTACAATAAAATATTTTTAACTTTTCAAATTTCAATTCATTGAAAACGCATAATAATACATTGGTGAAAATGCATAATAAGAAAATATATATATATATATACTTGAGGTTTCCACGAGTGCTTTCTATATAAAAATTATGCGTTTCGCGGGTTTCCTCCGTGTCTAGATCCATTCTTGGAATGCCAATGTTTTGTGAACCTTACAATCCACTTCATCAAAACCAGGAACAGCCTGATACTGAGCTGTTCCTCGGGGCCGTTCCTTTTTATAATATATTATGCTACTTATTGGAGTGGTGGGGGGAAAGAAAGATATTGTGGATGGGGAGGGGGAGGTGGGGAAAATTGATCGGTCTTCAATAACCGGGAGAATGATTTTCCATATTTTATTTATGTTGTAGCCATTATCTCTATTTAGATTGTTCGGTTGTTTTTGTATCTCTATGGCTTCTCTACACTTTCTTGGAAAGTATGATGTAATTAATGTTGGCTATCGTGGTCGTTTTGTTAAACAGTATTTGATGTCCTGTTTCGATGTTATGTTCTGATAATGACTGCGTGATGTGTTTTAGCCTGACATCACGTTGGTGTTCTTTGACCGAGAGAATCTAAATAGAGATAATGGCTACAACATAAATAAAATATGGAAAATCATTCTCCCGGTTATTGAAGACCGACCAATTCCCCCTCCTCCACTCCCCTCACCCACAATTCTCTTCTTTTCCCCCACCATTCCAACAAGTAGCGTAATATAAAAGGAATGGCCCACAGAAATAGCTCAGTATCAGGTTGCTCCTCGCCCTGATGAAGTTGACTGCAAGGTTCACGAAACGTTGGCATTCCAAGAATGGATCTGGACAGGGTGGAAACCGGCGAAACGCATAATCTTTATACATATATATATATATATATATATATATACACACCTTTGTATGTATAATACATACATTCGTACAATTTTATAAGTACATTTCAAGTGTATAAGAGTAACTTTATGGTATAAGTGTAACTTTATAAGTATTCACCACTGGAATCGAGATCTAAGTTTATCTTTCTATTCCATTTACGTATATTATTCATACGTATCTAAAAAAAACCCAAAATGGACAAAAATTTATGAAAAAATGTCATTTAAACTCATTTTCGGAGCAACTTATAGTGGACTTTGAATCCATTCCTCTAACAAATATCAAGTTTTCTGAGTAAATGGTACTCATTTTAGTTAATAGAAAATAGGATATAACTTCTAATCATTACTTTTTCAAAACTAATTAGACATCTGGGTAGCTTCCCTTATAAGAATATTGGAAAACTTTTTATAAAAATTAAAAATGTCGATCTTGACGAAAATCAACTTTTTTCATTTCAATCAGATTTTTCGAGAAACAAAAATTTTTTAAATATTTTTTTCTTGATAGAGAATTTCAAGACAAACAATTTAATGTGTATTATTTTTTGTTTTTCATTAATTTAAATAGAAGTTTTGTTCAATTAAACGTTTACAAAAACAAAAATAAATTAAAAATATTAACAAATTCATATCTAGGAAACTAATAGAGATAAAGATCTAAAAAAAAAATTAAATACATATTTTAATGAGAAATATATTAAAAAATCGGTAGGGATCGGTGATGCCATTAGAACATTTAAAATAGATCACCTGAATAACTCACTTGTTTTTAATAATAGAAGGAAAAGTGTCAAACACAAGTTACATGGTTTCAAAGAGGACATATTTTGATCATATTGTCTTTCTTCTAGGCGCTAAAGATATAAAGGCCACCTCCACTTTTTTAAATGGAATTGTATAACTCTTTTTTTTAATATGGTTTCTCCAATTATTCTGCATATAGTAGGCATAAAATATTAAATATCTTGTAAACTATTAATTTTTTGATAATCATATCTTAATACTTTTATAAACAGAATAATGAGATGAATCAGTTAGTGGACAGAAAACATAGTTGCTTTAAAAATATATGTATGCAAAATGGATAATTTTTTAAATAAGCTACTATGTAAAAATTGAAAATATATAGATATGTGGAAGCAGTACGTCCATACAAAAATATGTGGTAGATTAGATTAGATTTTTCAGAGTGGAGCCCCCATAGGGGAGGGAGGGAGCAGAATATACTGTTTCCATACATATACTTTTCATCAATTTTCATGCTCATATTGCACTGTTGCATGACTGTGACAGATTTTCTAACTTATAGTCGTCAACTTTAACGTTTAATATTTCAGTTCGCGGAGCATAGCATAACATTTTATTTTCAGATTCTTTGTTTCATGCAAAAACGCGTCAAATGAGTGTAATTTTATTGAAATTAAAAGCGAAGACTTCCGAATAAATATTCAAATACCTAACCAAAACAAATTCTGCTGTAAAAATAAAAATTGTATAGAAAATTTGGTCGTTATACAGTTTAGCACTATCTCAAAAATCAATAAAATTAGGCTTATTCGACGCATTTTTGCATGAAATAAAAGAATCTGACAAAAAGTATCGCTCTACTCCGCGAACCGAGAATTAAGCGTTAAAGTTGACAACTCTTGAGGTTAAGAAATTTGTCACAGACAAAATAAGGGTAAGGTAAGGTAATACTTCAGGAGAGCTGCCTTTGATTTCGATGAAATTAGGCTCATTCAAAGAATCTTAGAAAAAAGTAGAAAAAAGTCTAGGACTGCTCTGTAAAGCGAGATATTGAGCGTTAAAATTGATTAAAGTATGTAACACGATCATTAATTTGTCATATAGATTGTGGAGTGTACAAACTAGTGCTTATTGATTTGGGTCGGCATAGCCACCCCAAATAAAAAGAAAAAATATCCTATCCGCTTGGAGCCTAACTGCTTAGAAGTTGCAGCCTAGACAGTAAAAAGACCGCGCAAAGACTGTTCTCACACCTCATTGTCTTCATAGGTTAGAAATATTCCAAGCGGACATTGTCTAGGCTGCAACTTCCAGGCGATTAGGCTCCAAGCGGGTAGGATGTTATTTTTATTCGGAGCGGCGTAGCCGTCCTGAACTAATAAACACTAGTCTATACATTACTGTCTACATGACAGATTAATAATCGTGTTACATAGTCATACATTTTAACATAGTTAACATCTTAGTCAATTTTAACGCTCAACATCTCGCTTCGCAGAGGAGTTCTGAATTTTTTTCCTGTTAGATTCGTTGAATGAGTCTAATTTCATCGAAATCGGAGGTAGCTCTAAAGAATTATTTTCATTTTGTCTTTGTGACAGATTTCCTAACCTCAATAGTTATCAACTTTAACGCGTAATATCTCAATTCGTGAAACAGAGCAACATTTTTTTCTATCAGATTCTTTCATTTCATGTAAAAACGCATCGAATAAGCCTAATTTTATTGATTTTTGAGATGCTGCAGCTAAACTGTATCACTTTTATTTTCGCAAAGATCTATTCACTGAAACAACCTTTCTAGAAGCAAATTAATTTCTTTACCCATATAAATAGGTGCTTTCCCTTGCTATCCTTGAAATAAAGAGCATGCACAGGAAGTTCCTCTAGATTAAGAGTAATTCTTGCCTCGCGATCTGACGAAATACTTTGTAAATGCGCAACTCGCGCTGTGATGGGTACAATCTCACCAATTGTTTGTATGGTCTGTATACAATTCTCTCTATAATCAGGTAAGGACGCGTATCGAGGAATATCCTCGATCAAAATCGGGATATGCGGGATATCAGATTGTAAACAACTCTCACGAACAGCCAAACACGACAGCCACGGAGAAGATTCCAGACACGTTCGTTCAATCTGTTCCATGCCACTAATGTCAGCGACTATGGCTACGTTCAGACCTCATATACAATCAAGTCGGCTGATGCTTGACGGATGTCGTAAAAGAAGGGACCTGACCAATCCAAATAACGCCCAGCAGCCGACATCGAAAGCCGACACGAAAAATGAATGATGATGTTATGCGCATGCACACAACATACACCAACGTCTCCCGACCGATTGTAGACCAGGCCTCAGCAGAACGTTTAAACGGAGAGCACAGATTCTTACATAATGCATAACACATAAAGCATAAGAAATTCAACCAATCTGAGTTCTTTATTTCTTTATGGAAAGGAAGGAAACAGAGAACTTTAATTGATTTATTTTCTTATGCATTACGTGTTACGTATTATGCAAAAGGCTATGCTCCTCGCTTTTTTTTAACAGTTGGAAATTTTCTTTGCGCTGATTGAATTAGGCTTTTAGATCAAGAGGAATGGTCCTATCTTAGCAAACAGTCATAAAACGGTTGCAAAACTGTTGTGCTCTGCTGAACGAAGCCTATGGTTGCATATTGCTAGATTCACATCGGATCCGACGTGCGTTGTATTTGTGTTTAGATCTACGTACTCTAACGAAAATAAAAATAGTAAACTTATCCAAAAGGCGCATTTTAACCGGTTAAAATTCACCTCATTGCGAAGTCATGAATAAGTTTACTGTTATTTCCGTTAGATTACGTAGACCTGAAGCAATATCCTGACGTACGACGCTCTGCAACCAATCAGAAAATAGAATTTTGCTTCGTATCATCGGTCTAGTTTCCACCAAGGTTTAATTCGGATCAGAATGTAAGAACCAACCAACTAATCGAGCATTCTCCCGTTGTTTGACTGTAACAGGGGAATACTTGACTGTAGTTGGTTGGGTCTTACATTTTGATCCGGATTAAACTCTCAGTGGAAACTAGGCCATCGATATAAAATAAAATTCTGCTTTCTGATTGATTGCGGAACGTCGTACGACGCACATCGGAACCAATGTGAATCCAGCAATATATGATGGAAAGGAAACATGGGTTTCGTTCAGTAGAAAAAGCAGCTTTGCAATTGTTGTAAAATTCTTTAATATAATTGATCTTGCCCTTATCAGTTTCACCAACGCCGATCAAGCTCGTGATTAACTGTCAACCGCAATTGGTCGATTCTACTAAACAGCAAACGCGATTGGTCAGTCAATGATCGACCATTAAGCTAACTGGCCCTTAGTTCCTCATTGGATCTTAGGTCTGCCGTATACAAAATTCCGTAACAGTAATCGTAAGACGTAAACTTAAGCCGATGAGCCAATCAGAATATTACTTTAGGTCTAACGTAATCTAACAAAAACAGAGATAACAGTAAATTTATCCATAACCTTGCAATAAAATGAATTTTAATCTGATTACTGCTATTTTTATTTCCGTTAGAATACGTAGATCTAGAGTAGTATTCTGATTGACTCACCGGCTTAAGTTTACGTCTTAAGGTTACTGTTACAGAAATTTTATCTGTGGTAGCCCTAAAGGCCATTCTACATTAGTAGTATCATAGATATCGCAAATCACAAGGTTGTTGCTTCAGCCAATCCGATGCTTCAATTTTTAAGTCGCATGATGCTTACGACGCTTTCGACGCTACGATACGACCAATACAGAATGGCCTTAAAACCTGTGACACACGATGCTTATTTTCTTGTTGGATTAGAATCTTGCCACCGTATTGGCTGCGATATTGGCACTGATAGCACCGCAATCAATACGGTAGCAAGATTCTAATCCAGCTAGCAATCCAATAGAAAAACAAGTCGCTGGCTTTACTATAGGAACCGCGTAAACCATACCGCTTGCTTTATTTCTATTCTGTTATATGTAACGCGGTAAGCGGCACGGGCTAGTGATAAATTAACTTCAATACGAATTTTTAAAAAATATATTAACTTATTTCTATGCACATTTTATTAATACTCTTATTTTTTCAATGGATTTACTTATTAATTTAAATCAATTAATTCTATTAAAAAGTGCTTAGTAATGTTAATTTATCACTAGCTCTCATTCTCTCTGTATTAACCGTACGATCACAAACTGCAAGTGCAAACAAGTGCAAATGTGACACGAGATCCGTAAAATACCATGATAGAAGGAACTCAGGTGTGTTCTTGCGCATACATTTCTAACAGCAAATGAGAACGTGACACCATATGCTGCTATATTGTCGCGGTTATTTGAATTAGGCTTTATTACTTTACGTGTCATTATTTTATTTATATTTGTGTTTTTATTTATATTTGCTGATAATATACAATATGATACGAGTAAATTTGGTTTTATCTTTTTTTATAATAAAAATTAATTTTCCACATTTTATTTTGACGAATACCCATTTTGATCTTTCGAACTGTCATGACAAAATTTAGAATCAATTTTTTAGAATTTTTGTAGGTATAAATCGAATATTTAAATATTATTTATTTAGAATATTGCAATACGCTTAGTATTTCCATATCTTTGAATAATAAATTAAATTTTATCATAATATCAGTCATAAAATAAATCTAAAGATCTGTCTTCTTAGCCATCTTAAGGTGGACAATGAATTAGGATTATCTAGTTCTAATTTAATTTCAAAGGAGACACTTCTTATAAGCATAGCAAACACGTAATGTAATACTAGATTTATTATTAATCTCACACACACATTAAAAATATAGATTATAATTTTGAATGCAGAAATATACTGTTTAGAAATGATGTAAAAATACAGGAATGAAATTTTATACTGATATTTATAATCAAAATAAAGTTTATTATCACATGATTTATCCCCTGCCTCTTCCTTGAGATCCACCTGGTTGATTCTATTGATTCAGCCAAAATGCCAAACCAGTATCTTTGCCTCTTTGATTTTGTCCTCTTCCTCTACCACGAGTTGAAAAAATTTTATTACATAGAATTGTCAAATGTATATAAGTGTAGCATACGCGAATCTTATCTTAAAAAGAATTTAACCTAACATGAAATATTTATTTTATATACACATTCTTAAATATTTTATATTATTAAATATTATACATAAAAACATTAATATTGTTTTCTAATTGAATGATTAATAATGTAACTTAATTACTTTCTATGTAATTATTCCAATATAATTCGACTTTAAAATAAATATGTGAATCTTTCTCCTTCTCAATTTAAACACATTTCATATGACATTATTCATTTTGTCTGCATTATTGTCCGCTGACTTATCCGTGTGTTATCCTGGTTCCTCATTCTATTCCTAAAATTTTTTTGATTGATGAACCTATTTTTGATTTCCGAAAATATAAGTTTCAGTGGATATCCATTGTTTAAAAGAATTTGTATTATTACCATAATTCAAAATTCTCTTGATGATAAATAGGATGGGACAAAAATAGAACTCTATCAATTAAACCAATGATTGTTCCCACTTTTTGGCATAAAGGATGTCTAGAAACATAATTAAGATAACGACCAGAAAAAGTAGGTTTGTGGTACCAATTTTGAACAAGAGAATTTCCTTTTTTAATTAAACTGATATCAAGAAAATCTAACTTGAATTGGAATAAGAAAATCTTCAATAAAAATATCCTTGAAAAAAAATTAAAACTACTACAATATTAAAATTACTATTATTAAATTGGGTTTGATACTTAGTATTATATACAAAGGGCCGATTTTACCAACTCGATTAAGCCGAATCGGTGTCAATACTACTTTACGACGATAGAAACAGCTATAATATAATCTTTTTAAGTGCAGTTGTTGTCTTAGAACTGAACGAATATCATACGAGTATATTTACACACAGATCGAAATGATACTGAATTATTTAAAGATAATAAATAAGATGTTAATATTCACGAAATAAATACATTCTTTCCATACATGAAATGTACGTTTCCATATTTTGCGCAACGTAAAATCTATTGTTTTCTATTTCATGTTCCATTACAACTGTTTATAACTTTTAAACAGGGCTCGGTTTTATTTCAAATAAATTCATTTAAAATATACATTTTAAATACAAAAAAAAAATTAAATAGTTATTTAGTATATATTACATTTAAAATAAATCCATGTTGATTTTCCACCTTGTTCGCGAAGAGTTAATACTATTAAGTATCAATTGTAGGCTGTAGCTATAAAAAAAAACTGAAACGTTATATTTAGAAATGTATATTCGTATATTCAAATATACAAAATAAATCATTAAAATATTTTTTATTTAAATATTATTTGAAACGTTTATTAAAAATACATATTTCTTACTTTATATTTTAAGTAAGTTTTCGAATTCTATTTTTTATTTAAAGTAAGAAATAGTTTTGTCGAAAACCTATTTGAAATAAAAGGCAAGTTATTTTTATATTTTAAATAAAAGTTATTCTATATTTTAAATAAATAAATGCATTTTTGGATCCTATTTCTTATTTCATATTTTAAATAATTTCATGCAAATTTATTTAATATTTTAAATAAATTTTTGGAATCTATTTTATATTTTTTATTTGAAATAAGTGGTATCAATGATTTTATCGACTCCTACGAATGTATATTTTAAATAAGTTTCTGGAACTTATTTTATATTTGTTATTTTAAATAAGTCATATCAATTATTTTACCGAGTCCTGCTCCTAATGCATTTCTAACGAAGCCTCATATAATATTTTTTTCTTTTTTCCGTTGCACTTATATAATATACTTCTGCAATTAATTGTCTGTTAAATAATATTAAGTTGTTCGGAAAATTCATTTCAAATTTTGTTAACTCAAAATTATATACAGAATATATTTATTGCGAAGTTTTCGACTATCTGTCGTGAAAGCTCCAAATTTTCCTTAAAAATTCGATTTAAAAAGTGTCATTACGATTTTTTGTTGTGATTTATTCGGTTAAGTAAAAAGGAACATTCCGACTCATAACTGCGTTATAAATCATCGTACCGCAATTAGAGATACAGATTTCT